CCGCCCCCCCCCTCTCAGTGTTGGACTAGACTATTAGCCCACACATAGGCACTGCTGTCTGTCTTATTATACATCCGTTTAGCAACTTGAATAATACGTTATAGTGTAGTGAGATTATGTTCTTTGTATATCTTCAAAAGGCTCCTCATTTGTAAATGAGGTGTAAGTATATAAAAATTATGATTCAGTTCTGTTAGGACTCTTATTTTTTCTGTTTTTCAATTTAACTCAACAATTTACATATCTAGAAAAAATTAACAAATTTCGTCATTCAAAGGCGAAACTGTCAAGGTAACATGAACTTTAATTAGCCTTTAAAGCCAAAGTACAGGTTACTCCCAATCCATTACAATAATAACTGGTGCTTTGAATTAGGAATGACCTTTCGCATATTCAGCATAGTTGGATTTTTTTCATTTTTTAAACACGATACCATGATAGTTGGGACAACTCATCTGTCTCAAAAATTAAGATCCATTTTAAATGAAAATACTGAAATACATAATCACACATTTTAAATGTTTGTAAAATGGGCAAAGATAAAATGGATCTCATTCAATGCGTTTATATGAGAATTTTGTTAGCCTCAATACAATTACAAAACCGGGGTGTGCGATAGACATAACTCCACGTGGTGAACCCTGGGCAACGTATACTCATACGACAAAAAGTATATTATCGGGCTGTTGACTTCTCCCTTCAAACTACCATCACCACACTCTATGCCATATTCTACCACTTCCACAGTACCTACCCTACCTTTTCTCTGCCTTTGTGTCTGTCTGTCTCTTACCTACCTTTTCTCTGCCTTTGTGTCTGTCTGTCTCTTTTACCAAGACCCCACCGCATTTCATATTCGACTAAGTAAACAGTCCAAGACCCCACCGCATTTCATATTCGACTAAGTAAACAGTACTCACCTTTTTTCTACCTTTGTGTCTGCCTGTCTCTTTTATCCCTTTTTCTCTGCCTTTGTGTCTGTCTGTCTCTTTTACACCTGTGAATCTCTTTTATTCATGTCGAATTTTTCTCACTTTAATGTTCCTCCCTTTTGTGAAGCCCGAAGTCAGCTAAAGGGCTAATGATAACTATAAAAATGCCTGCCATTTGAAAAAAAACAAATGAATAAACATATTTTCAAGTAGAGAATTATTTTAATCCACAATAATGACTAATCAAAAACAAGTTTAATGGTTAGTATTTTACTCAAAATTTGGAAAAATTTATTGATAACAAAATGTTGAATAAGTCATTTAAAATTTTTAAATTTCCAAATGGTGGTTTTTGAAATTCCAACAAGATAGTCTACTTTTAAACAAGTTCCTTTGCCTCATGAAATACTAATCAAGAAACTACCCAAGAAACTCGTTTTAATCTTCTTAAATAATATTTTGAAAAATATTTAACACCATTGAGCAATTTAATGGAAAATTCAGTAAAACACATGTTTCAGTTACATATTATTCTACACTTTATACCATCCGAATTAGTTTTTTTTACACCTTGGGTTAAACGAAGCGAACAAATATGCCGACCAATAAACCGTCACTATTTCCACTTTCTTAAAGGAAATAAATTTATCCCACATTAAGGCTGAGAAGCAAATACGCCAAAAAAACAGATTTTGCAGTCTTGCTCTGGGGAGGGAGGGAGGGAGGGAGGGAGGGACGGGAAGATTAAGAATTGATAATTAAAACTTACTGAGCTTTGCCTGCTTCAGCAAGATCTGTTTGTAGCCGCTCACCTCCCTCCACTTCCATCGTGCAGTACACCATCTTAGTTGCTGGAAGGTGCTTGAGATTCTTCACTTGAACCACGACGATCTGCAAAATAATAATGGATTGTTCGAAGCTAGAATTATGGAGTAGCTAAATATACGATGGAATAGAATTTGAAAATTTATTCCTTGACAAGACCGATAACTATATATTCGCATTTCCTATTATTATCAACGTATACTCATACGGCTAAAAAAGTCTATTAACGGGCAGTTGACTTCTCACTTCAAACTACCATGGCCCGACTACTTGTCATATTCGACTCCTATCACAGTACTCATCTTACCTTTTTCTCTACCTTTATGCCTGTCTGCCTCTTTTACATCTGTGAATCGCTCTTCTGATCCCCACCCCTCGACTTTCTGCTACTTTGATGAACCTTCCCTCCTGATTAACCTTCCCTCTGACCCTCGACTTTCTGCTACTTTGATGTTCCTCCTCCCCTCTTTCGACTTTCTGCTACTTTGATGAACCTTCCCTCTGTGAAGCCCGAAGTCAGCTAAATGGCTAATGATAGCTATCAAAACGCTTGCCATTTGAAATAAATAAATAAATATTATCAATAAATTTAGCTCTTAAGAAAGCTAGAGATTGGCATCAATAATACCGTAATCAATTCGCTTAATTTGCCCATTTTATATGGAGCTTTATTTGATTTCACGAGATTTCGTTGCAAATTAAATCACTAATTCTGCCTAGCAGTTGTTTTATTGGTTATACAATTAAGTCGGATAGTTCCACGTACCTTCAACAATTTAAATTTATTTAATTATTCTTTCTATACAGGGATATATGGAAATGCAATAACAATTCAAAATTAATATTTCATAAATGTAATTTAATAAACGGGGATGCGTTCGGTGTAGGTACTCTTTAATTAACTTTTCCACCAATTATTCATCCTTCATTTTCCCGTCAAGCTATTTGTTTTACGACAATATTGAAGAGATTTGCTCAAAGCTTTCACTTTATCATATAGTTCATATCAAAATTCAAAGAATGCGCAAATATTCTTTCAGATGAAGTTTCGGACAACATGCAAACTCAGGTCATAGGTCCTTTGAATTTTAGTCGTGTTAATGGCCAACCACCCAGGGAAACTCTGTTAAACTTGGCCTTTGAGTTATTTCAGCATGATTCCATCCTATATATCAAAAACTCATGTCAACAACAGATGAGGAACTCTATCAGTACCTGATTTAACTGCCCATTGCAAATATGCTTTCAAAAAAATTCAAGTTTGTATAAGCCACACTGGGAATTAAATTGTGGACACTCAGAATTCGGCATGCCAATAAGGAAAACCATAAAATCAATATCCTTTAGCATTTTGGAGTGGTGAGCATATGATATCTATAATATTGTGGCTCAATCTCAGTAGCATCTTTCCTACTTCCTTCTCTCCCCTCAAGGGAATAATATTTAATTTATTTTAAGGCGTGTTATGTGCAGGAAGGAGTAGATGAGAAAGGAACTGCAGAAAAGACGTAAATTCTTGTTGGTTTAATATATTTAATCAACTTTAATAAGGCTGTATTTACTACTATATGTGTAATGTAAATTAGCAAACAATAAGCCAAACTATAGTTAAATAGAATAATGGGAAACGGTAGCGTGCTTAAAGGCGTGGTTAGGTCGATATGTTCAAACTGTCGAGACAATTTTAATCTTATTCTTTTAAACAAATGAAAAACGCTTTTTTTGTTGTTGAAAGTAAGTGATTTATCTATTGATTATTTACGAAGAATAGTTTATGAGAGCACCAAAAATTGGAAATTGAATTTTCTCACAACACTCGGAGTTCCATCACGGTATTGTACTATCGAATAGAGCTTTTGGACGGGTCTGTGTAAGTACTTCTGCAATGTTATGTTGCATTGTTTCCACTCAAATACTCCTTTATCGACCTTCATACGGAATCCATAAATTTTGCCAGCTCTTTATGAGCATTTAAGTGCCAATGTCTATGCATTTCTAATTACTCGCATTTTACCGTTGCCTTCAATTTATGCGCGTATTTACTAATTCTATTGTTTAAGAATCCTCAACAAATTTGTATTCAAATTCGATTATTCTGACTGAATGAAAAATTTGAGAAGGATTTTACATTCTTTTTAGGCATGAAAGTATGAGTAGGTGTAGCCTACCGCTTAGATTTAATATCACCGACATATCAAGACAGTGAAATTTCACACCATTGCAAGGTATTTTGAATTTATTTAAATAAATATTTGGATAAGCATTCTATAGATCACGAAAAAATATCATTTCAACGTCATATGCTAATTAGTCATATGCATCAATATGGCATGAACAGACACTTAATTTAATTATCTGGTATGTCAGTTCTAAATATTTGCATCAAGTACCCATCTATGCACCTTGAAACAAGAAATTTGGAGCATTAAACCATTAGGAATTGAAGTAAGGAAAAAGTGAATTCTTGAATTCAAAAATAAAAATAGAAGCTAGACATTTGATTCCATGGTTTTGAAATTCCCTCTTATCTCCTTTGGACTGTAAACCTTGCACTGTCTCGAGATTCTTTCATTGTTAAAATGACCTCGAGTTAATTTCACTCATCAACCTTTTTTGAATGCAAATAAGTTTCGATGGATTTAAATGGTACTAATCTCATTACATATTAGCTGAAAGTTACATTTGGAAATGTAGGTGTGAGCCACGCGTCTTCGCATTCTCTAACTTCGCCCACTTTTGCTCGCTAGCTTTCTTCCAGAGCCAGGCAATTTAAAGATGATTTGCAAAATGAGCCTTCATGCAAGTAAATTTGTTTATCCCTCTCGATGACCTTGAATGCTACCTTAAAGGGAAGTGGATTTCTCTAGTATCCTAAAGGCATTAAGAACAAAGAACTGCAAATTGCAACCCTGCCTCTAGAGCCATCTTTACTTTTCGAGAAAGGATGTTTTATTTTACATTCCTCTAATAGGTACAATTTACACATCTTTATGACTAATTCACGTTGTAGTGCAAACACTAACTTTTCAATTTTACTGGCTAAGTGGACTTTATATAAATGGTAAATACGCTTTATCATAACAATTTCAATGAAACCCAGGAAATCTTTTTTCTTCAAACGGGTATATGAGCATACTCTGTGCTCAGATCTGGGCAAGACAACACCTTTGTGAGTGTCTTTCTTTGTATGCAAATTGTTGAGTGCTATTTGCAAGCAATAGATTAGACTACATATTCACCACCAGCGGTGCGCAATAGACTTACCTCTACGTGGTGCACCCTGGGCAACGTATATTCATACGGCAAAAACGTCTATTAATCGGCAGTTGACTTCTGACTTCTAAATTCCATGACCCCACTGTATATCATATTCGACTACTTTCATAGTACTCACCTCACCTTTTCTCTACCATTGTGCCTGTCTGTCGCTTTTACATTTGTGATTCACTCTTCCGTGCCCTCTCTCGACTTTTGTGACTTTGATGTTCCTCCTCCTCCCTGTGAAGCCCAAAGTCAACTAAAGGGCTAATGATAGTCATCATAAAGCCTGTCATTTGATATAAATATTCACCACTAAGGCAGACATGGAATAATTCAGACAAATATGACACACTGTTTCGCTTTCGCAAAGGTTTCAACACCGACATCATCACTGAGACTAATGATCAAGCGCTTAGAGGAGGTTATGCTAATTTTGGTCAAAATCTTCCAATTTAAGGTGAAATCAATTTCAACATGAAAAATTTCGGACACTTCTACAACTCATCTCTTCCCATAAAAATTTGGGTAATAACTTTCGAGGCTTATATTCACCAGACCTAGCTCATTCCATTGACAGTTTGTTTTAGTCTCATGAAACCTACTCTAAGATTTCAAAATGCCGCTGAAAATGTTAAACACTTGTTCGAGCATTTTAACTCATAATCAATAAATAGTTCCAAAAATTACAGAAATTACACTATATACTGATTTAAAAATAAATATTTCCTTTGCAAAAGCAGCACTGTGGATTTTGTAAGTTTTAAAATGAATTGAATTGCATTAAGTGATTATTCACTACAGTTCAGGTTTTAACTGATGAAATTCGGATCAAGTTCTAATTTCCTTATGACAGTTAATATATTTTCAAATATATATATATATATATATATTATACTAAATTAATAAAATAAGTGATCGCTCATGATTATATGCTAGTAAAGTGAAATTTAAGCAGAAATAGAGTACTTTTATCGATAGACATAGGCATTACAGAATAATTATTAATTAACTAAAAAATGAGACAAATGAAATAAGTTTCAATTTAAAATTAATTGGCTTTTGGTTAGAACTTGTTGTCTCTACCTTTCGTTTACCGCTTTAACTTGGAGTGACTTGGGATAGAAGACAGCCATATTTCACCGCTATAGAAGTGACAAAACAATTTCCCAATCTTGCGCTTGCGATTTCTACACCTGAGTTTGCAATATTAGTGCAAAATCCGTTATACAGATAAAATCTAAGTATGAATAGGTCTGCGGTATATTTCAGTAAATACTTGTGGCCTGAAATTTGTGGTCAATGTTTCATCGTCAGGCCACGGCGAAAGTTGATATTACTTTGTTTATATATATTAACGAAATGTAAGAGTGATCTGGCTGGCTTACCTCGAGAATAAAATTCAATTGTGTATCAACTTTACAAAGGTTCAACTCGGGATTCTCTTCTGCATTGTGATCGCGTAGGCTTGTATTCATGCTTTGGTTCCTTCCATGTTTCTTAAACTTCTGGAAGCCTCCACCACCTTTGGTGACTGGAACTGCTTCAAGACAAATCATCGACTCGTTCACCATGTTGCGGAGTTCTTCAATGTATAGAGTATCCATGGATTTCATAACTAGCCGTGGAATATTTCGGGTCTGTATGAAATAAATGACAGAGATTTCCAAAAGGGATAGAGGTTCGTATGAGGGGAAGAATTGGTTTATTTTAGAGAGAGTGAGTGACACTTACCCTTGCCATCTCCTCAATGGTGACTAATTGACCGTCGAGTTCTCGTCGAACTTGAGCTGCCTGTTCATCGGCATTGTCAAGCTGAAAAACAGCAAGTATTAATCAAACCGACACTTTAAGGACTTAAGCAGTGTAGAAAAAGCACTCAAAATATAGTAAATATTGTTAATTTAATCAATGGAATATCATAATCCCATATTCGACTGAAAATTAGGGCTAAATAGGAAGAGGCATTTAAGGCCATTTCTGATCACTGTTTTAATATTAACTCAATTCTAGCTCGATCTCTTTGAAGATAATTCGGTGTATTATACCAGCTACCCCCCTCCCTTCTCGAAATCCCATTTAAACTTTTATTGCTATTTTATAATGTTATAATCCTTTGCGCAATTTCCACTGGAGAGAAAGAGAAATACAACGTATAACAGTAAAGCTCAATGGGAGATTAAAATGATGTAGCAAATGATGGCTAGAAATAAATGGAGCCCCTCCTCATTCAAATTTGGGGGTTCTCGTTTTGGTTTATTTACTCCACGGTGGGGTGCACGATAGACATACCTCCACGTGGTGTACCCTGGGCAACGTATTCTCAAATGGCAAAAATGTCTATTATTCGGCAGTTGACTCCTGACTTCAAACTACCATCACCCCACTGCATTTCATATTCGACTACTTCCACAGTACTCACCTCACCTTCCATCTACCTTTGTGTCTCTCTGTCTCTTACGTCTATGAAACATTATTCTGTCCCCCTCTCAACGTTTTGCCACTTTGATGTTCATCTTCCTTTCTGTGAAGTCTGAAGTCAACTAAAGGGCTGATGATACCTATCATAACGCCTGCCATTTGAAACATACACTCCACGGTGGGAACTTCAAAAGTAACTGTTCATACACTGAATTGTTGGGCAAGTTCTTGTCTCAACGATGCCCATTGCTCATTGACTGATAGATTAACTTGCACGGTGGATCACAACGTTTCGATTAGTCTTGAAAAGGATAGGTGAGTACAGCCAAGGGTGTTTTAAGCAAGTCAAGTTTATTACACAATTTACGAAAGAACAAAACTGCAAAACATTTAAAATGTTTGCCTTAAAACAATAGGCAATGGCACCAGCAGTTAACGATGACTTTTAGTAAAGTTAATATGCAAATATTCAGTTTTTGCTTTAAAAGGTTATTGAAGTAGGGGGACATTTTACATTTGTTCACTTGAAATTACAAATAGTATTTGTTGGATGTGGTAGAACCCTGGTCCACTAATTTAGACAAAATAAGAAAAAAACGGATTTAGTTTTAGCCCAACTTAAAGAGATCTTCAGTTCTTCGGGAATGGAAATTAACGCCGGATGTAAGCAAAATAATAAAGAATGATATTTACATTCTACTGAAATATTATGTAAGAACCAATGTCGAGAATGATGGCAATCTTCGAATATTTTCCCTGAATTTCTGTGTAGTCTTTGACAGTATAGCTAGTAGCCTTTGATTTCCCAAACGATTGGGAACAAAACGAGTAAATAGGGGAATTTTAAAAAAATCAGTCGCCTCCAATATGAAGAAAGCAAATCACACTGTCTACAATGACAGCATTTCAACATATAGGTATAACCTCAAGACCATTAGTTAATTCCACGTGACTGTAAATAAGGCTTAGTATTGGTAAGAATTAATATTTTTAATGCCGAAATGTTTTAGTTACAGAATTTGACATTTTCCTATATAAGGTAATTGAAAAACAGTAGGGCTTATTTTTCTGCTCTCAAATTTATTTCGTTAACAGAAATTATTCTATAAACCGAGATATGAGAAATCGATAAGTCAAGTCTAAACCCTAGTCAAGGAACGTATTTTATGTTTGAATATTAAATTAATTCCCACAACCATTTGTCTAACTTAAAAAAATAGGAGAAAAAAGGTCTTCCTGTGCTGTTAAATTAATTAGAATTGGCCAAATAAATGACGATGGAACTTCAAAGATCAAAAATCAATAACCCCAGAGCAGTCAAATTATCACTTATTAACCTTTAGTAAAAATGGTTTGTTTTCTATATTTCAAATTTAAAAGTAAAGTCAAATTGTCAAGAGATATTTTGAAAGAATTATCACTGGAAAACATTATTTTAGTAGTTATTAACCAACCTGAAGGGCATTGAAAAGGATCTGATGTTCATACTTCTTAATTCCCAAAACATTCTGGAACATATCATAGAGCTGCTCTTTGGACATGATGACCTCAGGTTGTTGGACCTGGAGACGTTGAATGGCTGTTGAAGGGCCAGCACCTCCACGACAAATCTGATCAAATTTCACCATCCAAGCACTGGAGATATTTTTCTTATCTAGACCTTCAATATCAGGAAGACATTGGATTCGGCACTCGATGTTTATACGAAACACTTCGCGAAAGTCGTGCATGGAACAACCACCACTCTTCACCATAGTCGAGATACGGTCGCTGCATAGAAATATCTGAAGCAACAAACGTGTCAAAGGTCATATCAAATTAACTGGCATTGATATTCCATGGAATACCAAAGTGAAGTGGACTCAACTTACAAAATCAATCATCCCAATTAATCAGCTGACCAATAAACACTGAGCATTCTAGGTAAAAGTAACGTGACAACCCAAGCAACGAACCATAATATTTAAGACAAAACTACATTTTGAGCTAATATAATACAGAACCCGAAATTTGTCCACTGTCAGTCATCAGTTGTTTTCTATTCGTTTTACCTTTCCGTAAATGATAAAAAGGGTCACGAATTATTTTTTGATAAATTGACATACATTTTCTAAAAGTTTGTCAACTAGAAATTTGGAAATTTGATGACTCTTACTTGTGGTTTGATAAGTTATGTAACCCAAATGGTGTTTTAAATCATTTGTTAGCTTTTCAAACAGCGCCCTGAGGCATGCATAGATTTGCGACAGTTTAGGCCTACAGACAATTTTATTGATAAGAGGATAAATTTGTCTAAATTTTCATTCTGGCCGAGGTATTTAGACGGGGAATTAATTTTGGATGATTAATTACTGGGATAGTTCAAAAAACATGCTTGCTGCAATCGCTCTTTTCCCATTGGATCGATGTAAGTATATCAAAGAGAAACACACTGCAAAGACCTCTTTAAGGAAGGGATTCATGGTAGTGATATCGATCAATAAATGAAATCGATAGAAGGAAACAATACCAAAGATTGGAATTTAATGTTATCCTTTGATGATCTTAATATTATTACTTGTTCAACAATGCCTTAATAGGGGTGATACAAAATTGAACGAAATTATGCAATAACTTTCAAATTCACCTAATTAAAACAAAAAGATTACTTGCTCTTAAGGGATCAGTAGACAGCTCATTCTAAAATAATTTTTTGATGGCGAACTTCAATTATTTCAAAGTTATTTGCACTCTACCGGATATAAGCTATTGTTTGAAATCAATTTTCGACTCTTGATTGGATACTTCACCTTCTGCGTTTAAATTAAAGAAATAGGAACGATTATTGGAGATTCTATTTGTTTTTATTGAAAAGATTCAAGACATAAAAATGCCAAAATACCTCCAAACACAATTTTCAAATACTCCTCATGTGAAGGAAGGAGTTGACGTCATAAAGTCTCCCCCATAACCCAGCCCCCCCCCC